CCAACTGAGTGTTGGCTCCCTGTACGTACATGTTCTTTCTGTAACTTATTTCAGCTAAAGTATTCATCTTTTATTTCAGGCCATAGAGTGTAAGATCAGTGTGTGTGTGTGTGTGTGTGTGTGTGTGTCGGCATGTTTCTGTGTTGGCATGAGTCTACTGTTCTGCGTGTGAATGGGCTTTCATCCATCCGGTTCTATATCCTTACTCCATCTTTCTTGCCTCCCCCTCCATTTCAGAGAATTTCTCCTTGTTTTTCAGTGATGGTGGATTTGGTGAGGAAGGATGGAAGGAGGTGATCGAGTGGGGTAGGGGTGGCGGGGGTGCAGATGGTCTGGTCAAAGAGGGAAAATAGAGAAGGAGGTAGAGTGAGAGGCAGAGAGTGATGGTCGAGCGGCAGGCTCCTTTTTTGGCAGGGCTGGCCAATGGGAGGGCCCATTGTGATGCAACGTTGCATAAATAATGCCACGGGGCTTCTAAATGCTCCGTTGCCATGGGGACCTTTGTGGCTCGGTGAACAGCGAGTGTGTGCGCTTGTGCATGGCCCCTAAGCAAGGAGAGAGAAAGAACCCACAGAGGCGGAGAGGGGGGGACTGAGTTGCAGGCAGCTCAAGTGACACTTGTGGTCTCTCAGTCTCTATGTCTTCCATTCTTTATCTCTCTCTATTACTTGCTGTGTCCTGACACAGGACAAATAAGTGTTTGGAGGAGAGTGTAGGAGCATTGCTGTTTATGTTTTAACCAGATGGATGCTCAGAGAGGTGGAATACTTCGTGAACTTCTCTGTTTTTATGAAGTATGGTCCATGTGAAGGTATGTGTCCCCACAACTCACATTCCTCTGTATCTATCTGCTCTGTTTTTGCCTGTCCTGATTAGGACATCTTGTGGTCATACATCTCCTTTATGTCCCCTCTGCAGTAACAGGTGTCAGTTGTGAGTTGGAGGGAGCAGAGATCGAAGGGGCATGGTGGGAAGTGGCCGCCTTTGTTCTGTTGCTTTTAAGACTTTTTGAATTTTCAGGGGCTGATATTGAGCCAGTTAGTATTTTCTCACAACCAATCAAGAAGGAAAATGTGCATTTCCTGTGTGGTCTTTATATCAGCTGATTAGGGAGTTCATATTGATTTTTCTGCACAAAAAGTCAGACCTCTTAGGGAAAGAACATGCCGTTTTCCTGCATGCAGCTGTGTTTGAGGTGTAAATAGGAGTGCCTCTGGTTTGTATCGACTTCAGAGGATTGCAGCTTTGTAGTGATGTGAATAGACACTGAAATCAACAGTGTGTCCCTTGTCTAAAATTGGCAGCAGGCTAAAATGTCAGTAAATACTGTAGTCATTGATTATATGCAGTAAGTGCTTCACAAGATGTTAGAATGTGGCTCTGAATTTTGTTTTATTCAAAATACAATTTATTATCAGCCCAATATTCATTTTGTTCAGTGCAGTGCAAAGACAATATTTTACAGTTGCAAATACAGAGTTTACATGTGTTTGATGGGCACGTTTTTGCAACGTTGACCTTGAATGTGCGAGTTTTTGTACGAGACTTTTACACACCTCAGCGTGCCCCTACATGTATGCCCAGTTAACGTTGATGAGGAGAAAATGGTGCACAATTACTGTGAGACTTGCAATGTGATTTGTGAACTTATTACGTTAATGAGTCATTATAATCAAATTGTGTTATTATGGAGGGAAGCCTGGAGTTGCCTCAGGCATTATCAGCATTTAAGCTCCCGCAGAGCAGCAGTCCATTAGCAGTCTTAGAAGTTGTGCTCTGAGTAAGCATTATATGTAAAACCTACATTTTCATCATGAGGTTATTTTCAAAAGTTTGGTCTTTGGCTGACCCAGTCACTGCCAAGAGCCTTTTTATTCACTGGTATTGGTAATGGTGGGTTAGTGGTGGCGCAGAGGTTAGAGAGCCGGTTCGACTCCCCGGACTGATAAAGTTAAAATGTGGGTGGAAAAGATGAAACATCCATTTCTTCTGTCTCCACCCTCATTCGTCCCACTCTGGGTCATTGAGCAAGGTCCTTAACCCCCACCATCTGCTCCTCCGGGTGTTCTAGATAGCAGCTCCCTGCTCCACACAGAGGGCTGCGGTAGCTCTGTGGTTGCGTCAGGAAGAGCATCCGGTGTAAAAATAATTGACAAGACTTCATGTGACTTAGTTTGCTGTGGTGAACCGTAAAGAAGGGAGCAGATGAAAGAAGACATAAATAAATAAACAAATTAAAAATGAAAATAATTGGTAATGGCAGGTGGCTGCCACAGCTAAATGACCACAGAGATGACCAAATTTTAGTCCAATATCCATAAATGTCACTAAGTTAAAGCCATTAATGTATTAGATAATAGTAATTAGTCAGTAATAATTGACTACAAAAGTACTTCTTCTTTCATTAATACGCATTTAATTATTTCTTATTTATATATTTAAAAATGAAAATAATTGGTAATGGCAGCCACCTGCCATTACCAATTATTTTCATTTTTAATTTTTTTTTTTTTTTTTTTTTTTTTTTTTTTTTTTTTTT